ATATGGATATTGAATTGATTTTTATGTGTTGAATATGTGTCATATAAAGTTGCTAAATTCACTTATTACTTTGAATAGTTTTTGTGTAGATTTTCCAAGTAGACAAACTTTTTAATCCATTAATAGGGGAAAATGTGTTTTATTCTGACATATATTATTTACTCACAGTTTGTTCACTTAATTAAATCTTTTGTGCTACCAGTTGTAATGTGGCTATATTGCTTCCTTCCAGTCATTGCCTGTTTTCTGAGTAGACAACCATGAGGTCTCTTTAATATGAGTCATGTCTATGTCCTTGATCAGCCTATATAATTTAGATTTATCTTTGCCATATGAATATTTTTTCAGAGCAGAATCTCTTTATGAAGTGTATATTCTAATGAATATCTGTTGTTAAATATTAGAAACTAGCAAAGACTTGAGCAAAATGCATCCTGATGACTGTGTCCTTTAAATTTTTTTATGATATTCTCCCCCCAAATCAAAATTACAGTTCTATTATTTAGAATGGACATTAACTCTAGGTCTTTGGAGAACTTTTGCTAACTTAAGAAAAATTCTTTCAAGTGTGAATTCTGTAGTAGAGGATGTGATCGTTCCATGTTCAGACTCTACAATTTAAAGCTAAAATGGTTTTTAAAGGTTATAAAACCCATCCCCTTTATTTTATAGGTGATAAGATAGATTTCATTATCTCTCTGAAGGAGAGCTTCCCTTTATTATTAAAATATAGAAGTGAATTCAAATTTATCAGCAAAGAAATGCACACCACTGCATCTTCATCCCGGCCTGACCACCACCACCACCACCACCTTTTACCTGGATGACCATAGTAGCCTCTTAGCTGGCCTCACTCCTTCTGCCCTTGTCTGCCAATTCTATTCTCAGTACTTGTGAATAAACCTGAGGTCATGTCTCTCCTCTATACAAAACCCTCCAATGACTTCCTATATCACTCAGAATAAAAACTAAGGTCTTTACAACAGGCTACCAAGACTTAATATTTTAACCCTCTACTCCAGTGAGATCTTATTTGACCTAATCTTCGCAAAACACCTCTCCCTCTTATTGTGCTTCTGGATGTTCTCTTCTCGCATTTTCTCTAATATGCCGAGCATGCTTCCCAGGGTTCTGTGCATTCATTGACTCCTGTCTGGGATATTTTGTCCCTAGACAGATGCATGATTCATTCTTTCCTCTGCCAATGCCATATTCTCAGTGAGACCTCTCTTGAGCATGCCATACAAATTAAAGTCCAGGTCCACACTCCACCCTGCTATAATTTTCCATTTTTCACAGCATCCATCATGTTCTAATATACTATATAGACTACTCATTTATTATGGTCCTCTAATGACTTAATTGCAAGATCCACAGAAGCAACTTGTGCTGTTATTGTTGTTTGTTGGTGTTCTTTTTTGTGCCTCTTTTGTTAACTGATAGATCCCTGGAAACCATAAAGGTGCCTAGCATGTAACAGACTACTCATAAATATTTGTTGGATAAGTGAATATAGAAAAGAATGAAGATCCCCTGACAGTTCAAGGTCATGGATCATTCTTTATGTAAAATCACAGTGCTAATCATTTTTACTATCAGCTATGATAGGTCTTTCAAAATTATAAGTGGTAACAGGTTTCCCTCACTATTTGAAAATAGAATGTTCCTCTTTGGATTATTTGGTAATTACTTTTTGAAACTAGGAATGAGCAAAGTCCTTTTTTCTATATAAATTAGTAGCACTAATAGAATTTCCAGACTAAATAAAATAAACTAATCTCCCTAATTGTACCAAATAGGATTGTCTTACTTTTCAGTAATGGGGGAACTTATTCCCCATGTTTGCTGTGATCTGTATTTTGTGGGTTCTTTGAGATAAAACATGTCCCTTGAGTTTCTAGCTAAGCTATTTTAGACAGCTTTTTATACTGAGACCACAAATTTGATAGCATGAATTACAGATTGTAAAATATTTTTTTCTCTTTGATAACTCATCTTAACAAAAATATGACAAGATGACCACGTTTGTTTCCTGGGTCTTCATGATAAAAGTACTCAAAAAATGGTGGCTTATAATAACAGGAATGTAATGACTCACATTTTTGGAGGTGAGAATTGCAAAATCAAAGTGTCAGCAGGGCAATGTTCTCTTTGAAAACGGTAGTGGAAAACCTCTCCTTCCCTCTAATTCATTTCCAGGGGTTGTTGTCAACCCTTGGTTAATTTGCAGCTGTATCATTACAGTCTGTGCCCCAGTTGTCACATGACTTGTGTGCTGTATGAATACCTTCACGTGATGTTTTCCATTTCTTATAGGGAACATTTTTCATCTATTAGAAGCAATAAATCAGTACAGTAAAGTGGCAAACTATGAAATCAATATATAAAACTCTTCACTAAAGATAAAATATCTCTTTCCCTCCCTGCTCCCCTCCATTCCCTCCTTCATTATTAAATATTTTCAAACAATTTACCATATACTAGGAACCCAGCTACAAGTTAAGTGTAGAACAATAAGTAAAGCCAATTAATACTATTTTTATGTCTTACCAGGGATGTCTAATTTTTAGACACCTATGTTTAATAAGAAAAATACAAAAATAAATTTTATTTTTAGTGCAGAATGAGAAGTGCATGTGCAGCCAGAGCTCATAGGCTCCTGTTGGACCCTAGAAAGTTTCCCACAGAAAGTATTTCAAAGGTGGAAATTCTATGGGCCTTGAAAACAAACATTGTTTAAAAATGAACAATGATGTAAAATATATGTAAATTATTTTAAAAAAAGAACTATTAAATGTCTGAAACAGTTGAAATTGTGAATACTCACTGGATATTTAGAGATATTAAAGAATTTTTATAAATAAAAAAAAAAAAAAAACACCAAAGCTGAGACATGAAGGACTGGAATAGGGAAGGGGCATTCAAGGTAGACCCAAATCACGTTTAAAGTCTCAGGGCTCAGAGAACTTGGCATTGAGGGGCCATAGTTACTTAGTCTATAGAGCAGGGGCATGAGGGAGAAGGGCAAGGCTGAGGATGGGCTGGATGAAGGTGAAGAAATAAACAGCAAGTGGATCAGCTTCCTTCATCCCTGCCAAATAGCATGACCTCTTACTTCAGAAAGAAAAGTCATATCATGGAGAGTGATTTTGCTAGTTTGTGTTCTCCACTCCCCAAACAAAAGCACACAGCTCACACCAACTTAACTATTCACATCTTCTTCCCACCTTGCCTCCAACCTCCAAGGAAGGCATGGGCTTCTCTATCCCTTCCCTGCCTTGCTGAGCTCTAGATTATGGATCTGAGTCGATTTACCAAATCGCCTTGATGGCCAATTCACCAAACAAAGCAGCACAATCTCATACATCTTTCAATAATTTTCAAATTATAAAGTTTAAGTGTAAAAGAGGTTGAAAATTTCTAAACCTTTCCACAATGTTATCAGAGAGTGCTTTTTAGCATGTGAATTTTCTTCCTAGCACCACATCAAGTCAGTTGGCTTGCGCCTGCCTGGAGGCCCAGCTCTTTGCAGTGCAGTGCAGAGACCCATGTTCCTCCTGGAACATCAAAACAGGTGGGGCACAGAGGCTGCCGCCCATGGACTCGGGATGTCAGGGTGTCTTCACATGAGAGACTGAGATTCGGGTGCAGAGAAGGAGCACCCTGCATACATCATCTGAAAACAAGTCTCATGTAAAATATTCTTCATTATCCAGTTAAATATAATATTTAATGTCAATTTAAAAATAAGGATAATATAAGTATACATATACCCATGTGTACACACCTAGGCACTCTTTTTATGCCCCTAAATCTTACCCTTCTTTGCTCAGTAGTCACCTCTGGATTCTAAGATCAACATGTCAAGCTTTTGGTGTGTTGACTCTACCCTGCATCTTTTATTCATCAGACATATCCTCACTCTGCCCTAATATCCTCCAAGGTGCCACCAAGGAACTGTAGCAAAGATAGATCAAACATTCTTTAAAACTCGATTATCAAGATGAAATTAAAATGGAATGGTTGAAAAATACATTTGGGGAAATGGTCATTTGGTGAATTGGACATTGCTCTAAATTTATTTTTTTAAAGATGAATTATTGGGTTGATCTATGTTAGATCACATCCCCTCTTGTGTCTCCACCATAAAAATTCTAGCTAGAATTTTGCCATCTTATCAAGTTTTTCTCATTATTGGGAACATAACAAAAATGGAGAAATGGATGTTTTCTTGCTTTTTTTTTTTTTGTCTCCACTCTCTTGGGCTTATCCATTAGTAAACCCTGGTAAAAATGTGCTAAACATAGCAACTAAATGTGTGGTTGGTTTACAGTTGACATGTACTACTCCTTGGAAGGTCAGCTCACTCTGTGGGGCTCTGCACCTCGCTTGTCTGAGAAGAATCTCACAAAATGATGGCATTTTGAGACTGAGCCAGGATGCCATTAACACTGTGAATAACTCAGAATTCACAAGCAGGGAGTTTTCAATTCATCTTCATTTATTGGAGGTTTTCTGGACTGTTAACCTGAGTTTAGAGAGGACCCAAACTGACACTCCGAAGCTTGGAGACCGGTAGGTGAGAGGGTGGGAAATCCTCCTGTTGGCCACATGAATGCTCAGCAAATGCAATTGCAGATTACACTCACGTTCAGAGCCAATGGGATGATAGTTATACAGGGGAGAAATTGGGCTGGGGAGGGAATGTCTGGAGCCAGCAACCAAGTTGAGTCAGTAAATAGTCAAAGTATTTACTTTAAGTGCTGCTCTGTCTATGGAGATAAGTATTATGATTGTTACTCAGGTAGAATTACCAAAATATAGATCAGATCAGATCAGTAAGTAGTCAAAGTATTCAGTTTAAGTTCTACTGTGTCTATGGAGATAATTCTGATTGGTATTGCCAAATTCCTATTAAAGGAATTTCACTTGACCATTTCTCAGTCCTGGTGTTGTAAGCTGAGATTTCTCATTTTGTATACATCTGTGTTATTTTGCAGGGTTAGAGCAGTTTGTTGGAAGGATGCAAGACTTTCGATTTTACCAAGTAGCACTTACAAACAGGTAAGCAGGTGTGGTATTGTAAAGCTCGCAAAGTATAAATGAGGAATTCACTTAACCATAAATGAGGAATTCATTTAAATAAGAGTAGCATGAAAATTACAATAATTTTCAGGATTTGGCAAATGTCACCTAATTAATGTTTACAGTATTTGTTTTGGCTTAGTCTCTGGTTGGTATTTGCTGGTGCTACTTACTCTGCCAGGCAGCCCCACATAATATGGAATTGATTAGTTTTCTGACAAAAGATTTTTGTTAAGAAAGTTAAGTTTTTCAATCTGTGCTATAAAAATTGAGATAGATTTGTTTAACATTCTATATGAAGAATGTTAATCCTACCTTTTAAAATTGCTTTGTTGAATTTGCCAAAACTGGCCAGTACTAGTGAATGTAGAACAGTTAAAATGATTGATTATTTGGATGTCAAAGAAGAATGGAAGATAAGAGAAATGAGTAATTTAAAGTATTGTTCTATGTCTTGATGTTTCTAATCAACAAATAATCACATAGACTTGGATTAGTTTTAATGAATTGTGTCGTCATTTTAGGAATAGGTGATAAATCCTTTCTAGGGGTACTTAAAAGCATGTTGACCTCCATTCTGTTCAGAGATGCTGAAAATTTCTGCCTTACATGTCTTCTGAAGTTGCTTTACCAAACTTTGATGTGATATAATAGTGTACTGTCAAATGGATGAGTTGATCTTACTTTTTCCTATTAAAGAAGAAAAATAAATTCCTATTTCTTCAAGAGAGATGTAGGTGACCGTGGTGCATTTCCATATAACAAGAGTAACTCTTGTATGTTTGAGAAGCACTGGCCTTGAGGTGCTGTCATGGTGTGTCTATTGGCAATAGCAACATATTTTCTATTGTCTGTATTCTCAAGCAATGCCTAAAGAAAGGAACCTTGAAGGGGTTCTTTTTCGCCACTATTTTCACTATCTTTTAAATCACATTTAAAAAAAAATTCTAAAAAGGAATGTTGCATAAATTGGGGGGAGTAAAACTTTACTGGACAGTCACTTTGAAGTCATTGGCTCATCCCAATCAAAACCTGCTATCAGCTGCAAGTTGACAAGATTTAAGAAGGCATGAGTTCTCTTGCCTTAGAGAATGGGAAGCCGCTGCTTTTGGGGTAGGAGAGGAGATGTCTTGTCTGTCTCGTTTGACTTGGGTTATAGGTTTAGGATCCTGAAATGTCTGGAAATGTGTTATGAGGAAGGATGTCTACAAAGGAATGCCCAGTTCTGATCTAGAACAGTTATTTAGCCCTTAATAGAAGAAATTAAATATATCTGTCTGGAACTGGCATCTTCTTTGATTGTTGGCAGCTGCCATCTGCTCTGAAGCCATTGAAACATTTTAGGGTGCCAGACTCCATACTGATGACTCACAGGGAATCATGGGCACATGATCTTGGCTATGGTCCCTTTGCCTAAAATAGCAGCAGATAAAATGATACTTGTTTTCTTATTTCTTTCCCATGGATGAACTGGAGAGCCTACATGTAATGCTCACTCTTTTCAATATATTCCTGTTCCCTCTCAATGGTCCATCAGCCTAGACTCCTACAAGATTGCTACCTTTCCTCTAATTACAAATCACACATAAACTATTGTGATAATTTTGATATTTGAACAAATGGCTTAATTATCAGACCAGGGCTTGTGAGTGCTTTTAATGTAAAGAGTAAGCACTTGAGAATTAACTGGTTTTGATAGCCATTTCATGACATGAGTATATTTGGCCTGGAAAGAGTTTGATCTTAAGCGGTGCTTAATCCACGAATCTAAATGGATACAAGTCAAAAGAGCACAATAGTGATGTTCATTGGTAACAGCTCTTATAAATTCTGTCACTGTTGAGCTCCTTGCCTGACAGTGTTCCCCTTTATGCCCACAGGGAGATTCTGGAAGTGCTCTCTGGAGATCTGACTAGGCTGTATGTCCAACTACACTGCTGCAGCCCAGGCAGCCACCCTCAGATCCATCCCCAGGCTCAGTGGCTCTGCAGCCCTAATGATGCCGAAGACATGGCTTGGGACAGGGTGTCATGGCTGAATCTTGAAGCCTATCTTCTTTCTTTTGTAAATAACGATGTTGCTACTTCGTGGGTTTCACGTGTGTTCAGAAATAATACCCAGCTTAATCCAGGAGTGACCATTTCAATAGATATGGAAAGTGGACAATATCAGGTAAGTTGAGACATTGGGGTGTGTTCTATGGTTGCTGCAACAAATCAACACAAATTTAATGGCTTAAGCAACAGAAATTTATTCTCTTAGAGTTCTGAATGTCAGAAGTATGACATCTATGAAATTTAGAGACTGCCAGGGCTCTTCTCCCTCCAAAGACTCTGGGAGAGAATCCTTCTTTGCCTCCATCCAAGTTCTGGTGGCTTCTAGTGTTGCTTGGTTGAGGGCAGCGTCACTCCAGTCTCTCCCTCTGTTTCTACATGGCTGCCCTCTTTGTTTCTGTGTGTGTCAATTCTCCTCTATATCCAGGATGACCTCCATCCTGTGATCCTTCACTTTATTGCATCTGCAAAGACACTATGTCCAAATAAGGTCACATTCACACATTCCAGAGTTAATACTTGCATATATATGTATCTATTTGGGAAACAATTCAACCTTTTTACAAGGTGAAAACTGAGCTAGGTGATTGAATATTACCTCACTAAAATAGTGCAATATGATGTACGATATTGAAAAAAAAATAATTGGAAATATTCAGGCCTTAATTTTTTAGATATTTGTATCAAAATGATGATATATAAAAATCTGATATATAATATATATATAAATATATTAAATAACCCAAAATAGTGAAAACTGAGGTGCTTATTCTAATTAAATATTAAGAACCTATGAAACAAGGAGATTTCTGAAAATATTAAAAAGAGATCTACCATAAGATCCAGCAGTTCCACTTCTTGGTAAGAAGGCAAAAACACTATGAAGGGATCTGTGCACTCCTATGTTACTGCAGCACAATAGTAAAGTTATGGAAACAACATAAAAGCCAAGGGCAGAGGATGAATTAGGAAGATGTGATATATATGCACAAGGGAGTGCTGCTCACCTCTTAAAACATAGGCTTTGTTTTTGCCATTTGTGTCAAAATGGATGCAATGGAGGGGGTAATAGTGAGCAAAACAAGTTAGAAGGAGAAAGACAGACATCTAATGGTTTCACTTACAGAATATAGAGAAACAAAACAAAGGATCAGACAAAAACCAAACTGCTAACAAACCCTAGAAGTCTGACTGTAGAGTTGAGAGGACCAGAGAGGGAAGGAGTGGGCCCAATGGATTATGGTTTGCCTTGGGGTTGAGGGTGGTGTGGTGACATACTGTGGAAGTGTGATCCTATACCTCTGCGTCATACACAGCATTGTAAACCAATGTTGCCTTTATTAGAAAAAATCAAAAATCCCCAGTTATTTCATAGAAGTAATGTCCATTTTTATGTGTTAACATCAAACAATCAGTTGCAGTTAAATTTATAAAATCCGTGAGAAGGACAGATTAATAATTATCAAATGTGTTGCTTTACAATTTTTGGATGTTTATACAATTTTTGGATGTTTAGTAAATAATCTCATCCAAAATAAATAATAATTATCATTTTGAGGAACCACACCATTCCATTTGAATCCATGGTTTGACTTTTACAGGTGAATCAAAGTTAAAACTTTGATAACAGTAATTAACTTATACATTTTCACATGTTTTATATTATCATTCAGCTTTTTACTCCACAACCAACAGCAATAAGGATTCAGAGGAAGAAGGAGAACAACCTGGATTGGGAGCTTTGGCAGTATTTTGCTAGGAACTGCAGTGCTTTGGGAATGAAAAACAGTGGAGACTCGGAAAATCCTGATTCTGTCAACTGTCTTCAGCTTTCCAAGTAGGAACATTTTCACATTTTGGAGGAAGGAATTTAGGAGCTAATTTTAATAAACTAATGAGTTAGTAATAACCTCACTCACTTGGCTGGTAGAAACTCCCCTCCACCAGCACGTTTCTTGAGGTAGATCCTTTAAGGACTCCTCTCTCAACTGAGTTTTGAACTATGTTTAAAATTCTCAGAGGAGATAAAGAATATCTCGTTGACTTTCTCATACGTGCTTTATGATCTGATTTTCAGATTGCTGTAAACTTTACTGATATTAATTAAATTTTTATGTCCTCAGGAAAATGTTTGTGCGTTTCCCCCCGTAATGCTCCTGTCTTCTTTGTCTATGAAATATATGGGATACATTTGTTTTCCTAGAATGAAGAATTCAAGCTATTATTAATACCATGGAGCAATGTCTCAGACTTTGTAATGTCTATTTCATCAAAGCCATCAAAAACTTTTCATGATTTGAAATTTCTTTCATCAACAATGTTACTACCTATTCCCATGGTAACATCACATTCAGCATCCTAACACCCAGACCGAGCCATCATCCTGGGTACAGTGACTTCTGTAATACCCTGTCTCCTCAAAAGTTTGTGAAAGCCACACAAATAAGACTTTATTTCCATGGTCAATACTGTACCACTGACAGTCCTGTCAGTCGCACAGGTACTATGCGTTCGATAAAATCACCTTCACAGAGAGGTAGTGGTCATTACAAGGTTTTGATTCTGTGTGCTTTTCACTATAAATTTCATTTTTAAGAAGGTTTAGGTTATTGTTACTTATTTAAAAATACATAGAGCATGACAGATTCCAAACTGCAAATAGGGAAATGGTTTCCTATGCTGAGTATTTAGGGAGAGATTTGTAATTTTTCCTGTCTGTCATATCACATTGTTAGAGAATCAATTTCTAGAAGCTGTGGGGTCAAGGCATTATCATACCCTGCATTTGACTTATAATTAATTCACTAAGTGTTTTGTTTGGTTTGCTCTGGAATATAACTGAGTATACTCAAAATAAAGAGAAGGAGCAAGATTAGGAGTTAACAACTGTAGCCTAAAAAGGAATTGATCTTCCTGACTTCACATTCAACAATTTATGGGGAATGCTTGCTTTCCTTTATAGTGAAAATCTCATCTGCCCTACACAATTCATAAATATCTGACCATAATCGAGAACACAGTTCACAATATTTTAAGATGTGAGTAGCTGGAGAACTATAAGTAAGCATGATCACTACTATGGGAATGGTACATATCTAGCCTCTTTTTTTTTAAGAGTTATTTATTTATGCATATGAGAGGTGGGGTACAGGCCAGAGGCAAGGGAGGTGAGAGGATCCACCAGAGACAGAGTGGGGAACAGAACAGGCAGATTGACCAAAGTATACTGCTGAGGGGAGCAGTGGGTGAGTCAGGAGAGGTCTGCTGTGCCATATGAGTTGTTCCCTGGCTGGCTGGGAATTGAACTCGTGTTGCAGTGGTTGCGGATATCTTCACAGGTTGCATCTTAACCCTTGTGCCATCAAGGAGGCCCCCATATCTAGACTCTTATTAAGAATCAGGTCATGCTGGAATTATCTGCCTTGTAAGTAATGTACACCTTTAAAAAAGAGCAGAATACCACTGTCTTAGTGCCATATGTTAAATAAGATAATAAAGAAGGACTAGTTCTATTAAATACTCACATATATGGGCATGGTGTGCAAACACATCTGAAGAGGTATGAAACTATATCCTAAGCCAGCATTACCACACTAACAAATAACAGAATTTAAAAGGTCTTCACCCTCTATTAATAATAAAAAGAAACAAAATGGAAGTTTGTTAACTTCACTGTGCATTTGAACCCAAACTTTGTAATCTTCACTGTCTTTTGATTAGTTTCAGTAAATGCCTCCCCAGGCATATATGCCACGTGGTAGATAGAGGTGAAAGCAGTCCCCTATCCCTCTTCAGGGCAGCTTGAAAATGACCTCACCTTCACAATCCCATTTGACTGAGACGTTGATGACACTCATTCCAGTATTCAAGGATGAATTAAAAATTGTCATGAGTGTCGACACAATTAAAGAGAAACTGATTTTTGTGTTGATTAACATACTCATCATCCTTGAAGGGTTTACACGGTGAATTTCTCAAGAGGCTGTAAGTGTATCCACAGGTGCGTTGATGTTCCTTAACAGTTTTCTGATGCTTATGTTCACAGATGTCAGTGCCACAGTCATGCCGAGATCTGTGACACCACCAGCCAGCTGTATCGATGCCTCTGTGCTCAGCAGGCCTTCACAGGAGCCCTGCATGTGAGTTCTCTATTTTGTGTATGGAAAACTTGAGAAAAACAGGACGAGTGTTGGTGACTAAATTCCGTAAACTTAATTTTGGTCTAACATCAGATTATAAATAGGAATAAATTAATATGAACCTTATACATTAGTTCAGAAAAAAAAATTGTAGAGAAAGAAAAATGATCAATTGCATTGGGAATTTAATGAAGAAATTAACTCTGAAGGAAAGAACAACCAACATGTGATGATCTGTGATGGGCTGTTGAAAGGTATTTGTGTCCTATCAACCAAGGACGAATTAACATTTCTCTGGAAAGCAAACAGTTTCTCTGCTACTCTGACTCTCATTTCTGAGAGTAGACTAGATGTAGGTTTTTCCATACCAAGTACTTCTCTAATTCTCTGTGGACACAAACTTGAGGTCCTACAATTCAATTCAACATTGACACCAACCAGAGTTAGCAAAACCCACAGATTGAGGGTTCAGTCCCCCAAGAATGCACCTACATCAGATACCAATTGCAAGCGGTAGATCCCGAGGTGATCCCCAACTTTTGTAAGGTTTGACTACAAGTCAAACATTTTCAAGATCTCTCCATACTATTTGATAATTTGCTAGAATGACTTCCAGAACTTAAGAAGTGGTTTGCTTACTTGATTACTATGCATTATAAAGAGGTAAACTCGAGAATAGTCAGATGAAAGGGATGCAATGGGCAAGGTAGGAGCAAGGATCATCAAGCTACAGTGTCCTCCTTGGGCATGCCACTCTCCTGGCATCTCCACTTTCTTTATGGAAGCCCTCTTGATCCCCTTTGGCTAGAGATTTTGTGGAAGCTTCATTACACAGGCACAACTGGTTAAATCATTGGCCAGTTCTGGCACTTCTTCCCCTCCCAAGGGGTCCAGGAGAGAGGCTGAAAGTTCTAACCTTTGATCACGTGGTTGGTGGCCCAGCAAGCAGCCCACCATCCCTAGGGTCTGTCCAAAAACCACCCCATTAACATAAATGTGTGTATAGTTAAAATTGATTTATTTTGAATGATAGAAGATGTTCCATTTACCTTTATTGCTCTGGAGCTATTTCAGGAGCCAGGGGTAGGAACCAAATATTATAAGAAAAGATGCCCACTGTAGCTCTGATCATGGACATGGCCAGTTTTTAGGAGCTGTGTACCAGCAACCAAGTATGTATTACTTATTATGTCACAATGCTTAATACACAAATACTCATAATAGGAAAAGTGCAAGCTAATAAAAAGGAGTGATTATATGAGCATGTCATTTACAAAGGAAGATTTGATAATATTCAATAAACTCATGAAAGATTACCTGGCCTCAGTTTTAATCAGGAAAGTGAAAAGTGTAAAAATGTTTTTAATCTATCAAATTAGTAAAAATTTTATAAAGTCTGATAACATGATTTGTGAAAATATGAACTTTTATACATCATTGATGGGACTGCCAATTTGTATAATAGTTTTAGAGAATACTTTGACCATATTTGCTAAAATTGGAGTTGCAAGTATATTGAATTACCTTATATAATTGTCATCATCCTAAAAAAAGCAATTATCCAGTATCAGTGAACAGAAAGGTTACCTTTGCATCTTTTTACATAAATATGGGATCACATGTTAATATTTCTCCATATTTGAAATAGCAGCCCCCTTTCATACACCCTTGTGTGACTTGTGAACGCCTCTGCCTCCTAGACTTTGCCCAGTACTCATATTTAATCAGTCATTTCATGCCTGTCTGTGGTTTGTTTCATAGGATATCTTGTTTTTAAAAACCATCTGTCAAGGTTTTGGCCAACCCCTTTTCTGTCTTCTGAGGCTCTTAATCTGATTTAGTTTATTTTTGACTACAGCATGAGTGTGTATATAGTTCAATGGCAAGAACATTATCTGAAAGGCAGTTTCCTGTAGCACATTTAAGATGTAGTTCTGCTCCTCAGTTTCAACTGAGTCTTTGATTGGATTTCAGCCCCCTTTCCTTTCCTTCTTTCTCAAACTGAAACTTTCATGTTCTAATTCAGATGTGCCTTTGAACTTGTTCTCCAAGTCATTGCTTTAAATTGCTGGTCTTTGTATTTATAAGTTTAGTCTTCATCACTAGTTGGTAATTGCTTTGAAAGAAGGACTCTTTTATATGTATATATTTTTGATTTCTAACATCTGGAGGCTTTGAATTTGATTTGATTAGTACATCATGAGGAAAATCTTTTTAAAAAGCATTGATTTTAACACGTTTGATTGTATGGCTTATCATGTTGTCACAGAAAGGAAATTAATTGGAGTAACTTGCTTGATTCACTCTTTATTCAACCATAACTGTGTGCTTAAAATTTTAGCAATTTGATATATTCTTGATTTGAAAGTTAAAGTGACATTTATTCTATTATTTTAGTGTTCTCTCCTTTTGATCCTTTAAGATGAATACTTTTTTCCGGTAATTGGTGATATCTTTCATTAAACTCATCCCTTCTCCCCAAGCTCACTAATCACCCAATTGAAATACTGCTTTGGTATGAATTTAGTAGGCCTCCTTGATGTAGCCAGTATGGTGTGTGCAAATGAGGGGTGGCTAAGACTACTGTGTGATGTGTTGTCACCTGGGCATCTCTTGCTTCATTTTCACTAGTGGGTTCCCACCTCTACCCTCATTCCACCCCCACCCCACCTCCCTCTTGCTCTGATGCCCCATCCCATTTTACTTCCTCTTCCCCTAATTGCTCACAATGTAGTGATTGATATTTTTTGATTCTGGGATGATTTCATGCTTCTCTTTAAAAATAGCGCCATTAAATGAATCAAGTCTCATGATTGGTTTCAGAAATCAAATTGGGATTTTCAGATTTGGTCTCAGATGGTGACTGTTGCATTATGAACTAGTGAAATAATTAACTATAATTTAGATTGAGAATATATTTTAATGCTGCTAATTCAGACATTAAGTGCCTCTTGAAAACAAAATTTTAGAAGTTGACTTTTTCATTATTTTCTTCCTTGATGTATTTTGATAATTCATTTAGCCATAAGTAATAATTTAGCCATAATAATAATAATAACAAATAATGCATTTAGCCACAAATAAATCATCAAATAACATTCCCTTAGCAAAGTTTGGCAAATGCTGCTAAAGGAAGAAAAGTCAATAGATATTTAAGTATATGATTTCTCAGTCCTGTGATATTTTTAACAGTATACCAAAAATGCTCTGAATGCATAAGTAAACGTGACATTGTCTTCTTGTTATCATTGAATGCATTTTAAGATATAAAATAACTGAAAAAGTTGTCTTTCAGTAATTTGAAAGTATACTTAGCCAAATATTTTTAATGTTGTTCCACTTTTTAAAATAATACGTTTTAAAATAAGCCTTTCATTTTCTGTTGGAACCAACGATCTTTTTAAAGATCTGGACATGATCCAAAAAGAATGTCTTCAATTTCACAGTATTATGCTAACCATTAATAACATTGCTCAATAAACAGGACTTTTGTGAATTATATTACAGCCATTTGGCAAACAGATGAAAACGTAATCCTTGAGAATATGCCAGTTCTTGGCAATTGTCAATCCTATGAGGAAGTGTTTTTAACAGAAATGAAAAATGAATGAAATTGGAACAAAGTAGAGTGGTGAAGTCAGAAGCCTTCTCCTATGTGTAGCCATTCTAGGGAATTTCTGGAGGAAACACTGGATGTTACAAACAGGTGGTCCACAGGTGCGAACGGTGCTTGAACAGTTTTTATTTAATTTCCAACAAGGTTTTTCTCTTAAAAAAATAAAAATTTGACTTCTCTGAGTTAGAAAGTAGCCCGACACGGTGTCTTCCATGACAGTAACTGCTGACTGGGGAAGCAGGTCCTCCAGAGCAGCACCTAACAGCACCATTATCATCATGAACCTGCCTTATATTGGGTGACCTCACCTGGGCAACTACCTGGTTTTCAGAGACTCAGAGTCTATGAACCCTAAAAAGCAAGAAATATAGTATTTTGAAACTTGCACTAGGAGCACTAATCCATGACTAGGCATAGCAGTTGCAATGGTCTATTTCATAGCTTCATTTATATTTTAAAATCAATAAATCAAAACAATTTAAGAAAGTCTATTGCCAAAGACTGAACTGACACTGAGATGAACTTAAACCCACAGTTAGGTTTCTTAAATATTCCCTTACATCTTGAAAGATCTAAAACATCACCCCGGGGAGGTTCCTGATTCTCTTCAGTGTTATTGCATGAAGAACTCTGCTCATTTAGGTATTATATTGGTGAAGTTAAAGCTTTGATTTTAATGTATGATGTGTAGCCTCAATCCTAATGGCCTTATGTCATTAACAGAATGATTACAGAAAATGTGTTACATTTCTATCCCAGAACTGAATGAAGCAGTGAATCATTAATGAATGAAGCAGTGGGTTCATTTTCATATTCATCTAGGGCAAAACAAATCCTCAAAGAGTACATACTGTTCAGTAACTTTCAGGTAGTCTTTCATAGCAAAAGGTTGGAGGAGTCATTTGATAAATTCAGTTTTATTTGGATAATATATAATCGGTCACTTAGACATGTATTTTTGATTTTTTGAAATGAATTTATCTGGTGATAATTGTAAATTCATATACAGCTGTAAGAAATAACACAATTATCTTTTCAAAAAAATTTATTGGAGCAATGCTAGTTTACATCCCTGATTGTTTCAGAAGTATTGCCATAGTGCACCCACCACCAAAACACCCATATTCTGCCTCCATAGTCCATTGATCTCCCCCCTTTCTGGTTGACTATTTTCTAAAGTTTTCAAGGGTTACTTTTAAAATTTGGCTTTATCTGACTTTTTTTTTATTTCTTTATATTCCACTTTAAGAGAAAGCATCTGGTGTTTATCTTTCTCCTTCTGACTTATTTTCCTTAGCATAAATCCCTCCATCTCTATCCCTGTTGCTCCAAAAGTCAAGAGCTTATATATACTTTTTATTTTTATTTTTTTAAAGATTTATTT